AGTTGAAATGAATTCATTTTCTTTTTATGCTGGCAGCTGTGAGATGACATAGGTCACTCACAGTTGAAAAACCGACTTGCCACACGTCAGACAAAAGACTTGGGCCGAAACCTCTCTCTCTCTCTATATATATATATTTTAAAGGATTATCTCGGACCCAAGGACGGTCAAGGCTGCCACTATATTATGTTAAAACCTACTGCTGTGCTGTGCTGGCAAAGATTCTAGAGGCAACATTCCCATATTCAGAAAATCTTCGCATACCATGTTTTCATCGTACTCCAGACCTGGGTTTTGGTATTTTACTTTGATATAGGCATTTCAGCTCAATCTGGAGGGAACAGTTGGCCCACGGCGAATCCACTGAATGCCCCTCCACAGCTTTCTATCCCCTATTTCGTTCCAAAGCAGCTGTGGACGTTGAATGAATTGAAGGCTGCTTTGATAAGGAAGTTTCCTCATTTGTCTACCGAAGAAGGACAGGGTTGTCAAAGGTAACGTTTTTAAAGATTGGCTGAGTAAAAATTAGCAAGTTTCTTCCCCGGGACCTCACCCAAGGTGAACTCGGAAAAATAGAACCCGCTGGGCTTGCCCCTGGAAGTTTGGGCTGGCTTTGGGATTGGAATTTTGGTTCTGGCCCCGAAATTTCCCTATGTGGTCTCTATACCAGCCACGCATACTCGGAATTCTTCGCATTCCACAAATTCTTCCAACTCCAGCGAGGACATCGTACTCCATAGTTAGGGACGTACACATACTGTAAAATCCACGCACTCTGCAAGATCTTCGCACTCCATAAAATCTTCGTACTCGGCGATTTTCTCGTTTTTTCTGCTTTTTTTTTTTCGTTTTTTTTTTGGCTAAAATCGCCTGGAATCACGTTTTCTGGAATATGGGCAAGGTAGCGGTTTCGCGTGAGACGTCTGTAGTTTCACATACTATCGCATTCCAGGCCATTTTGGCCAAAAATGACCAACAATAAAAAAAAGAAAAAAAACTCAGCAGGGTGAAATGTGATAATTTTCTGGTATATGATGGAAAAAAATGGTGTTGGATCCATGGGGAAGGTCGAAGGGGCCACGCATACTGTTTTATTTTCGCATTCCAGAAAATTAGCGCACTCCAGGGGTGGCATCGTACTCTATCGGTGGAATTGTTTTGCACAGAAGAAAACAGGATTGTCGATGATTTGTGTTCCCAGATCCTGTTGTGCAGAGCTCTTTGCGGGGCCACAAAGATGTCAAGAAAGATGGGGATGGCGCTGCTGATGAAAGGCCAGCCAAGCGTGCCAGAACATAAGCTTAAAGCTTATGAATTGGGTTTTGAGATCCTGAAAAGTGTAGATGACAAATTCCCATAAGAACATTATTAATCCATTTTTGGAAAGCTCAACATTATTAATTATGACATTTCCAGAAATTGTTGAGAGTAAGGATCTTCTTTGGGGAGGAACATGTGCAGTCGACAACGTACGTGCCGGAAGAAAAGGAGTACTTGGCAAACTGTATGAAATACAAATTTCACCTGAAAGGGGTCTTCGCAATTCCCTGAAATTTCCCAGCTATTTTGGCATGGAATATGTTCGGCCCTGGAATATGGGCAAGAAATTGCTAGAAAGATGCCCGCTTAGCGCTTGGAAACAACCTTTGGTCAGCATCATTCTAAGGTTTTTGAAGGACCACAAGTTGTAGTTGCTAGAAACCAGTGGCGAAGAGACAGGTAGACCACCCGATCCCAACACCGAACTGCCAGCGCAGAAATCCCACGACCTGCAAACATGAGCGCCAGCACTCTTGCCTGCTGTATCCCCTCCATTGGTGTAGCTGTGCTCATGAGTAAAACCCCGTAGGTTGTGTTACCTGACCAAAAGGATGGACGGGTAGAAGGCTTCGTATATATTTTTAGGGCAGATTGCAGCTGAAACTGAAAACATGTCAGCCAGAAATGGCAAGTCGTTGGAGGGGTTCAAGGTACTGCCAATGCAAATCCCACGGATTAGAGATGATGATTCCACAATATTGACCGGAATAGACGATTTGTGAGAGTGTTTTGTGGCAGACTGTATATCGCAGTCCCTAGAAAGACTTCGAAACGAGTTCATACATGGCCTCCCTTCATATGGTTTTGTAGGTTGTAGTAGAATAAGGGTTTCCTCATTTATCGTGCCACTTCAGACGTTTGTGTTTATATATATATACATAAGCTACATTTATATATATATATATAAATATGTAATTCCAAACTTCCTTTCTGCCCCCTTTCTGGAAAGATAGCGCAGGTGCCAATGTGCCAATCTTCTCTGGCGCCACTCGGCCACAGGTACTTTAAGCAAGAAGTTTCTGAAGACCAAACTGACCAAACAATGATAACTAACAAGTTTGACAAGTGTGGCAATGTGGCAAGTTTGATGAGTTTGCAGCGGGTCAAGTCCGTTTGCACGAAACGTGATTGAGAGTGGAGTTCCAGAGCGCTCCAGCTGGGCAACCACACAAGGACACAAGCCGTGCCACAATGGACACGCACAGTGGTGCAACTTGGCCGAGACATATGCAGAACAGTGGACAATGGGAGACGGTGCTCGCACATGTTTGTACCATGTTGTGACAGAGCCCTGAGAGTAGAATGTCTTTTATATAGCTTCCACCACGGGTGAAAAGACTTTGCGCTCCCTGTTGCTGTATATTTCAGGACCAACCCCCCCAACTCAACCATCCCCAGCCCCCCACTCTGGTTTTTGCTAACAAGGACAGAAAACATCGTAAATATGGTGGTTTTTGGCCCGTGAGGTGCCAAAAACATCGATATTTACGGTGTTTTTATCGAAGGCTTTCAAAAATTGGCTAAACACAGCCAAACTGACGCCTTCTAGGGCCCTGCGCGCATCACCGCCATCATCAACAACAGTAACGACATCAAGCATTTGAGCTTAGATTTGTTTTGGTTTCATGCCTTATTGGAGATGTTGGTGTGGTGGTGACGCATTTTACACCGATACGCTTCTGCAAACAGACGATGTCACGCACAGCAGCCTTACACAAAGAGATACAGAGACGTTTGTGCACAGAGAAGCCTTTACACACAGAGACTTTTATGCAAAGAGGCTTTTACATACAGAAGTGGGCTCTTTGGCCGAACCTGCACTGTTGCTGTTTGAATTCCTGTCCGTCTCTTTGCTTCCTCTTCCTGATCACCTACCTTTCGTGTTCCCCTTCCCAAGTCTGAAGAGTGTAAAAATGTGTAACGGTTACCTTGGAACCGAAAGCTGCCCACCAGGGAGTGGTACAGTACTTTTACGGGCAAACCCGCCAGTTTGCCCGCACCTACGTCGACGACGTCCCCGAAAATAAAAAAAACACTGTGTTCTCTCAGAGAAAATGCACATGTCCGTGATCTTGGGTTTCATCTTGCAACGCACAGCTTAGGCTACCTGTGCGTTGAATGTTGCATCACCATCATCATCATCATCATCATCGTCGTCATCGTCATCGTCATCATCGTCATCGTCATCGTCATCGTCATCATCATCATCATCATCATCATCATGTTCATCATGTTCATCATGTTCATCATCATCATCATCACCATCATCATGTTCATGTTCATGTTCATGATCACCATCATCATCATTATCATCATCATTATCATCATCATCATCATCCCATCTTCCTCATTATCCTCATTCTTATCCTCATCATCAACATCAGCATCAACATCAACATCAACAACACCAACCCTAAACCCTAAAACCCTAAAACCCTAAAACCCTAAACCCCAAACTCCGTGTAATTTCCCTTGAATATAAACGGGCGTGCGGGTTTGATGATTCCCTAGAAACTCTGTTGAAACATGTTGAATATTCCCTTTGAATGTAAAGTTTAACGGGGGTGGTCGATTAGCATGGAGCGTCAGATCAGGTTTGCCAGCTTCCGGTCCAGAATGGTTTGCTGAACTCTTGCGGGTGCATTGAGCTCTGGCACCAAACCATGGCATGTCCAAGCTGTGTTGTCTTGAGGCATGCGCCGTACCCGCAGACTGTCACTGGGTGGGTGGCTACAGCCCAGAGGACACGAGTGGAAACGCCTCGAAAGAGATGTGACTGGGACGGGTTCTCCTTTCATATCAGTCATATCCCAAAAGGATCAGGTTAGGCAATTTCCTGCCTAATAGTTAATTCTTTATTTCCTACCTAATTAGGTAATTTTTAAGGTAAAAATGTAACCTAATTTTAAGGCAATTCGGTACGTGGGGTTGAAAGTCTGCGTGCAAACTTGCGAGGCGTGGCTGAAAGTTTGCATGCAAACTTGCGAGACGAGGTTGAAAGTTTGGATGCAAACTTGCGAGGGGAGGTTGAAAGTTTGCGCGCAAACTTGCGAGAGGGGGTTGAAAGTTTGCGCGAAAACTTGCGAGGCGGGGTTGAAAGTTTGCAAGCAAATTTGCGCCCTTTAACACACACGCAAGCATTTGAATGCAAATGGTGGTGCAAGTTTACACTCAAACTTGCGAGGGGGGGTTGAAAGTTTGCCTGCAAACTTGCGAGGGGAGGTTGAAAGTTTGCATGCAAACTTGCGAGGCGGGGTTGAAAGTTTGCGTGCAAACTTTCGTTGAAAGTTAGGTAAAAGATTAGTTAAGGCAAGAAAAATTAACTAATTCAGGTAAGGAAAAAATAAACTAATAGTTAATTGTTTGTCTAAGATAAGGAATTACCATTTCGGCAGAAAATTGGCTAACCTGATCTATTGGGATATATATTGAGCGGAAAAATATACCTGCATACCAAGAAGATTCTGGAGAAGTTTGGGCTCGTTTTGGCAAGTTCCGAGCGTGGCACAAGTGACCTGAACCCACACAAACTGATGGGAAAATTATGAACAGCGCAGTCGTGTTCCCCCAAACTTAACATGGATGTCACGGTGGCTTCTGCCACCTCTGGATTCGAATAGGAAGGATGAACAAGAACCGACAACCATTTTTGCAAAGGCTCCGTTGCCCCGGCTTGAAGCATTCAGATGCTCAAACCTTAGCAACTTCACAAAGGTCGGCGTTGCTGCTCAGCCTAATTCCTTTTGCAGGTCTTGAAGCTTGCAGGTCGAGAACTGTAGCATAGCTGGCCAAGAGCCACAGCTACGCCTGCCGTGGCCATAAAGATGTCAGATGCAAAATGGCTTTCTGGCAGTTCTGCAAGGGATGGTCTTCGGGACTTGCTCAGTGGAATGGTTTCTGGCTTTGTGTGCAAGATCGTGGAGTACCCTGCGGACACCATCAAGGCGCGAGCAGACTTGCAAAGTAAATGTCTCTCAATTGATTCACTGGGACCGTGTTTCAACTATCCTCATCTTGCTCCTGTCCGGCTTACTTCAGCATTGAAAACCCAGCCCGCAGGTGCTCGAGCAGACTGGCGGCAACCGCTTCAGCGGACCAATAGATTGCTTCTTTAAGACAGTTACGGAATCTGGAGCTCTTTCACTATATCGTGGGCTTACTGCACCTTTGTTGGGTTCTATGGCAGAGTGCGCAAGTCTATTTACCTCTTATGGCTATGCGAAGAAAGTGCTGGGAGTCAACGAAGAGGCAGGTGGTGTGAATGCTGTGTGTGGCGGTGTTGGTCTGAGATTCTTTTTTGATTGCATTTGCTTGCGGGCAAACTGGTATTCATTTCAACTGAGTTTGGCCATTCTGCAGGCAGCGACTCCTAGCAATCCAGTCCCATTTTGGAAGCTGGTGGTCTCAGGTGCCGGAAGCGGTTTTGCCTCAAGCTGTGTTCTCACGCCTGTTGAGTTGGTCAAATGCAGACTTCAGGCCCAGTTGAATTGCCCAAGTGGAAGCACAGATTACAAGGGCCCAATCGATTGCATTGTGCGGACAGTGCGGGAAGAAGGAGTGACCGGCCTTTGGAGAGGCAATCTGAGCACCTTGGCACGTGAAGTTCCAGGCAATATGGCTTGGTTTGGTGTCTACGAGGCTGGGATGCGGTTTGTTCAACAAGCTCGGGGAGATGAGAGGAAAAAGGATGTCCCGCTCTACTGGTCTGCGTTGTCCGGATCTGCAGCTGGGGTTGCCTACTGGGCGCTTCCGTTTCCCGCAGACACAGTCAAATCCAAGATTCAGACCGATAGTCGATTCCAAGGCGAATCATTCGTTTCTGTCTTCAAGACAGTTGTGAAAGAGGAAGGTGTGGCTGGTCTCTACCGAGGCTGTCCTATCACTTGCCTCCGCGCGATACCATCTCATGCTTTGGTCTTCTACTTTTATGAGGCGGCCGACCGCTTCCTGCTTCGATTCTGAGCAAATATGCAAGAGAGCCAAAGTGCTTCGATTTGTCTTTGCTCGGAGGGCCGAAAACTCAGCTTGAAGTGATCAGTGTCTAATCCTATACGTCTCGATCAACAGACATGAGTCAGGGTTTTGCTGAGACATGTTGAAACCATCTCTTCCATTTTCCATTTCCTTTGCAGTCTTTTGTTTGGTGATTTCCATACACAGGGTTGTGGTTGAATCATATTCAATCGGCGCGCAGGAGCCTGCCTGCGAGACCAATCGCGATGCACGAAGTCGTGTCGTTGGGCAGGTGTCGGCTAGTGACTGCTACTGGAGCAGGGAGGTTTTGGGACTTGGCACCGTGAGAATTGCAACAAGTCCAACAGGTAACGATCGATTGTAGGCATTCTTGTCAACTGACTGATTTAGATAGCAAATTAAATCAATCAGCCCTTTCCATCCCTTTCCTATGTCCTAAATACATCATTATACATCTATAAACCTTCATATGCGGACCTGCGAAGAAGCCTTTCTGCCAGGCTGGCAGCCGCATCAACTGATGGGCATACGGTAAGACAAATGCTGCCGGCTACCATCACCTAAGCATTGAGCCACCGTTGGGCCTAGCTGGGCTGTACAAAGCGGGAACCTACTCTAGGCATCATTTCTGGACTTCTGAGTCCCATATTTGCGCAGACACGAGCTGATCGAAGGAGTTTTTTTTAAATGAAGCTAGCAAAACAGCAAAGTACCAGGAACATGCAGGAACTGAGAGCTAGAGGGTCCTATACATCGTCAGGCAGATGGAGAATTCATGACAGTGCAGCACTAGTGGTCAATGTGGTGGCGAGTTTGCGAAGGCCAATGATGCCGCAAAGGCAAAGAAAAGAGTGGCCACCAACCACGCAATGGCATTTTCATTACCATTCATTCGTACAACAAGTTTCTGGAACAGGTTGACCGCGTCAATTGGCAAAACAGCTGTGGAACACGCTAACTTTCAGCTGAATATCTTTGAGTATTCAAGTTGGCTGTCCGAGAATGTCACGGTCAGTCGGATTTTGCCATTAAAAGCAGACAAGAACTGATTGCATAGGAAAGAAGATGAAAGAAGTAAATGTTTCACAACAGTAGCAGCAGAGATCTTTGGGAGGCTTCTGGGACTTGGACGTCGGACCCTGCTTCATATCCCAGCGTCGCAGCTGAGGCGATTTTGGATTCTCAGGCGGAGCTTCTTCTTTTTCCTGAGGGGCATATATTGGAAGTGGAGGTGCGGTGGGCACAATTGCCATGCTTTTCTTGCCTTATGAAAGGTGGAGCTGCGGAGCTGCTTCGATGCATGGTAAAGGCGTTGAGACTAGAAACGAGAAAAACGAAGCCTGAAAGTCCGTGAAGCGTGAGGCTGCATAGGTTGGCAACTGGTCGCTGCCATTTTCTTCTCAGGTCTTCCTTCCATTTTTCGCGCAAGGAAGCTCCGGCTTTGTGGCGTAGCACAAGCAACTGCCCGGAGCCATGGCAGCGCACAGACTCCCAAGACATTTACGCGCTGCAGCCCAAGGCAGCAGACGCCCCCTTTGTTTCATCCTTCTAGGAGTTGCTCCCTCTGTTTGTTGCCTGTTGGACTTGGAAGACGTTGTCAGGATGACCTCACGAGTTTTCGTGGGGCCAGGCAGCCCAGCATGCAGTCCAACACATGGAAGACAAACCTTGCAGCAACATGGTCCCCATGGTTTTCATTGCATTGGTGGGCAGAGCCAAGGCCACAACCATGTGCATCATATTCCTCGACCAGAGCTGCCGAACTCCACTGAAGCTATGTGCCGGCAAGCTGCTGCTGCAGTTATGCGAGCTTACACCGATGGCTACACCAGGCAAGCTGTGCGGCTGCGGCTGGATGCAGCGTACTCGGGGCAAGAGGATCTGCGTGCACTTCTGAAGGCGAGTCTGCCCCTTGCAAAGAGCTTTGCCCCTATGGCTTGCATAGATTTGTTTTGCCCAGCAGGTAACTGGTTATAAGTATAAGTATAAGTATATACATATAATTAATAAGATGTGGTGATGACCCCAGCATGGCTGTAGGGCAAGTGGGATGCATTGCTGCTGCGCTTAATAACCAAACATTTTGGGCCGAACAGCCGAGCAGTGTCACTCAAGCGTCCTCCTCCTCCTCATCATCATCATCATCATCGTCATGAGTCATCATCGTCATCGTCGTCGTCATCATCATCATCATCATCTTCATCATCATCATCATCATCATCCTCGTCGTCGTCGTTATCATCATCATCGTCGTCGGTTGGCATACCAGTCTTCACCTTGGCCGCCTACCTTTGGTTTTCCTTCCCAAGTCTTCTCCGCAAAAAGCATATATAAGCTATTCGATATAGCAGTAGAGCCCGTTCAAACAGCAGGCCGGAGCAGAGAAGTCCAGACTGGGATAAAGTGGGGGCGATAGAAAAACCAGAGGGCTAGTGGAAGATTGAGCCTGAGCGGGAATCTATTTTTTTCCCCTTCGCTGTGGCCTTCTGGGACGGACTCTCTCTCTCTCTCTCTCCATCTCTCTCTCCCCATAAGACCCCTATTTCTGCGACCATTCCCTGTTGTTGGGTGCCCTTTTTCTAGTTGTGTATTGCCAGGGAGCTTTGAACCCCAAATTTCCTTTGATGACGACAACGCCATACGGAGAGTGTACAAACTATTTTTTCCTGTACTTCTCTGTGCTTATGATACTGTGTCACCCCATTATTTGTTCTCCTCAACCCCTGTCCGAACGGGCCGTGGGGCTAGGAGTGTGGTGGTGTGTTGCTTGCCGAGCAAAACGTTTTTCCTTGGATAAGGATTGGGGCCATTGAATCCCAATTGGAATCTTCACTAGTGAGTTCCTTTTGGGATTTTCTTTATTTTTCTTTGATGAAACAATAAGCTTGTGGTAATGCAATGTCCCTTCTATCAGAGTCTACGAGAGCACCATCGATGCAACACATGAACACCATTAATGGATTATCCGTAGTTAAAAAGTGCAGACGGACAGATAAAGAAAGGCGACAATTGCATATTTCTACATGGTGGCAATGCGCATCAGAGCAAGTGAGGCTACAAAACTATGGAACGGCGAGTCCTTGAAAGCCGTGAAAACGTCTTTAGTAGATGATGATGTGACAACGTTGCTCTACAGAGAGGCTGACAATGCGCTGATGGACGCTGCCGTACTCTACTTGCCATCCAGAGAGGTGGTGACCTCGCCAAAGTTCACACACTTCTTTCAAAGCATGGGTGATAGATTGGTGATAATGACCAACACAGAAAATGCCGCTGCAAACTGGCGGGTTGAAAACATGGGTGCAGACTTCTATGATAATCCAGATGTGGGCCTCGAAATTTGCAAGATGTTTGCTCAGCAGAGCTACTATTACCAGCTGGTGCCTATCAATAATTGGCAAGTCACCTTCTTTCGAGCTTATCCATGTCCGTGGGAGCTGTGGATTGAGGACTTGAATTACAATTTGGTGAAATTAGGCGAATCTGAGCAGAAGCCCAGCTACGATCAGATCGTGGCCTGGACGGAGGCATACGAGGAGACCAGTGTACTGAAATTATTTGGATAGAGTGCATGACTGGGCATGACTGTGCATTCAATTGTTGATGACATATATAAATTGACGCATATGTAACGTATGCATGCATTCATGCGTACTTATGCACACATACATACGCAGGAATTCTATATAGATTTATATACATATAGCATATAGAGTTATGTAGATGCTATTTCCACATACGCATACCCACCTATATCATGCATCTAAATATATAATTACATACATATCCACACAACCAGATATACTGTATGCCTATATGTGACTGCAACAGCAGTCCCACTAGTAGCTCCTGGATGATCTATGTAGATCTCACCTGATACGTTTCCCAACCAATAGTTCAACCAAGGTCCAAGGTGTCCACACCTAACCAACCAAAGTTCCCACCCCGCCAGCAAGCCACCAAATGGCGTCCGCGCTCTTTTCCCCTGAGTTCCTCAAATGTGGCCTTGAGCCAACTCGGATGGCAGCCGCAGATGATGTTGACTCTGCCCCATGTAATGACATGGAACAACCGAAGGTCAAGACACAGCTGGAAAGCACTTCGGAAATCACACTGGTCAAACTTTAAGGTTCGATTGTTTATCCATGTGGCCCCATACTTCCTATTAGCGTTTTGCTTTAACGTCAGATCCTCATCATAGATCCTAAATTTCCCCAAGTTTGGCACAGTTCTGAGAAACGTCGCGTCCATTGGTTTTGTCAAGCAGTCTGCCAGCATAATTGCAGTGGAAACCCATCTACATACCGTATGATCCTGTGACTGTTGTTTCAAAAGCATGACCTCGATTGTAGTTCGCCATTCTTGGCAATTTGGCGTGGCGTTCTTTGTTTTGAGATCACATAAAGTTTTGCAGTCAGTGATCATGAGTCCCGGGTGTTCTCTAAGCAAAGCTGTGTCCGGTGCATGCCATTTGAAGCTTGTGTCTTTGGTGAAACCCAAATACATATTATCCAAGCCAACTTGCCTAAGGAGGTTGACATGGCATACGCCCCAGCGCTTAAAGTGGAACGCACAACCCTGCCTATCTGTTTGGAATGCCATACTATGGGAGAAAACTCTGTAGTTTCGTTCAAGTTTGGGGGAACAAGACATGATGAACAACCCTTGTTGAGCTGCAAGTTGCTTCGCGGAAGCAAAGCTGGCATCTCCAAAGCTGGCAAAACTCACATCGGCAAGCGGTATGGGGCGAACAGTCACCGATGTTTCGGCATGTGACAGTGAATCTCTCAAGATTCGGTTTCCTTCAAGCAATGTCTCAACGGTGGCTTTAGGAATCCCCTTTTGTAAGCAGTCTACTTTGGTGGCAATATCCGGTCTTGAATGGACTGCAGCGTATTGTAAGCTGCCGCACAAACCCCTGAGTTGGTGTAGTGCTAGTTCAGTTATCGGGCTCTCTGGGGTAGCCCTTCTTAGTTTGGGTACATCTATTTATGAGGCTTATCTTATGGACATACCTACTCTGGTTTACCCTTATCGAATGGTCTGTGAGCTGTTCTATATCAAGACCTGTAAACTTGAATTTTCCAAACTCCCGGGTTCCGAAAGGCAACGTTTTTTGGAGCTGTTCCAGAGCCTTTTCTTACAGTAGTTTTTGTTGCCGCCACCGATGCCATCGTCTACATGTGTTCCCAGAATGCCATCCAGCAGTTGTGGATAATTTTTGTTTCTAAGAAGAAAAAGGCAACTGTCTAGTGGATGTGCTCTGAACCCAGCATTTTCCAAGCTCTTATGGAATTCCTTGTAAAAGAGCAGTGGTGCATCAACACGTCCATAGGCGTTACCCTTGAGGAGACAAACATTTTCGGGGCCCATACCCATTAAGTCTCTTAATTGACGGGGTGCTTCCATGGCCAATTCCCTATCATCGGATTTCCCACGTAAGAAAGCTGTGTCGAAACTTTGTACTGTCCATCTCATACTGGAAACAGTTTGGAGGAGCAACACCCTTGAATCTTTAGTCATTGTTGGGCTTTCCGAATTCAAAGATCCTATGTCGGGATCTTGAAATTCCTTGACAGCCAGTCGGGCCTTTGCCTTGCGGAAGTTAAAAATCCCTCTGGATGGCATGATTCTAGACGGGTGGATTCGCTCTCTCATTATTTCTTTGACTGTATCCGTGTCCAACCAACATTTCAACCCTTTTTGTTTTGCTTGAGCAAATTGCTCTTTTTCTTGGGGAGTTAAATCATTATACATTAGCTTGATCCAAAGGGGCTCCAGGGATGGTTTCTATAGAGGGTGGACGGGGCATGACGTAAACATAAACTTTGTCTAGGCGTAAGTAAAAACATATGTGAAACATAAACGAAACATATGTGAAACGTATATGAAACATATGTCAAACATAAGACAAAACATATGTGGAACGCAAACGAAACATAAATGGAATATAATTGAAACATAAGTGACACATAAAGCAAAACATGTGTGTGAAATTTGCAACATATGTGAAACATGAGTTGGCCGTCCCCCCTGTGTCAAGCAGTTGCCAATTTGAAATCCAAACCTGGTACAAACCTGCAGCCAATGTGAAACTGATGTCTCCCACATGTTTCACATATGTCTGACATACGTTTTGTTTGCGCAGCACTTGCGTCAGGCAAAAGTCTAAGATCTTATTCTGGGAAAATAAGATCTTAGGATTTTGACATACATAAAAAAACACAAGCGAAACACAAACAAAACACAAACAAAACATAAACAAAACACAAATGTAGCATAAACTTGTTTATGTTTTTTTGTGTTCTGTTTATGTTTTGGTTTATTTTTTGTTTATGTTTGATTTGTTTTTTTGTCGATGATTTGCTTATGGCCTTATTTTTATGTTTTTTTGTGCTTTTTTTATGCTTGTTTGCACAAAAAAACACAAAAAAACATAAAAATAAGGCCTTACGCAAATAATTGACACAAAAAACACAAACAAAACATAAACCAAAACATAAACAGAACACAAAAAAAAACATAAACAAGTTTATGCTACATTTGTTTTTTGTTTGTGTTTTGTTTGTGTTTCGCTTGTGTTTTTTTATGTATGTCAAAATCCTAAGATCTTATTTTCCCAGAATGAGATCTTAGACTTTTGCCTGACGCAAGTGCTGCGCAAACAAAGCGTATGTCAAACACAAGTGAAACACAGAGCAAACATTGTGTCACATAACTCCGCTCACCTCCAGAGAAGATGGAAACACGTGCGCGACAGTTGGGACACATGACTGCCAGAATGGTTTGTGGATTCATTTGTGTTTTGTTGATGAGTCGTTTTATGTTTTATTGTGGATTCACTTGCGTTCTGTTTATGATGAGTTTCCGATGTGTTTATGATTCACTTGTGTTTGCTTTTATGTTGCGTTTACGTTGTTTTATGTTGGTTCTTTACGTCTTTGGTTTATGTAAGGCTCTTAGCCTCAGATCTGGTTCCTATAGACGAAGCCCTTTGGGTTTACCTAAATTATACACCACCTCAGTTCGAGATTTCTTGGCAGCTGCTACAAGGCAAGGAAAGTGTTCCTCGGGCCGTTTGAGGAATCTGCACATTTGCTGTCGGGGCATTTCAAAAGCAAAGGAGACGCAGGCTTGTTCATAAGCATCCTTATGGGACCATATGGTTTCCTCATCTTCAAGGACTATATCACTATGATTCACTTTTTCAACCATGGTTACATTACAGACAGGTTCCATATTGTTACCATCTTCTTCGCGGTCAGTATCAAAGGATGCTGTCGATGGGCCATTGTCCTCCGATAGCATGTCCTGATCTTCAGCAGGCTCTTCTGGAGCGGCAGAGACAGGGGAATCAGGCACAGGCGTGTCTGTGGCGGTTGCAAATTGCTCGGCAACCCTTTGCAAATCAAGGGAGGTGTGTCGCACTGGTTCTTCTTCAGGCTGATTCGTTTGTTGGGATCCATGTGATGGGGATTCCTGATCTTCCGGAGGATTCTCTTCCATTTCTTCGGAGGGTATTTGACTAAGGTCAGCGTATTGGAACAAACCGCTGCGTGATTTGAGTAGTTCTTGCAGTCTTTTGGCCATTTGTTGGAGTTGTTCCTGGGAGGATGTTTGAGTGAAGGTTGCATGACTCTCAAAATTTCCTCAATGAGACTGGTCTCAGATTTTCCTTGGCACATCGCAACAACCTGTTCATATGATTAACACATATATATAATAATAGTCCGAGATTCCTGGCATATGACTTGTGCTGGACCGCACCGTCTACCCTTTTCGAGGACATTTGGTGCCTTTCTTTTATCCCAGTACATGCAAAGCTGCCCGCATGACCAGTGATGAACCATCCGTCGGGACTGATGGTGCATTGGGCGCCTCAGTGCGTCGCTGTTATCAGCTTTGGAAAATGCGGCACGTCCTGAGGACCTCAGCTCAAGCTGTTGACGGAACTTTTCGGATGCAAGTTCCTGGCCACTACCCATCACGTGAGCACTCAGATCTTCGTCTGAGATGATCGAGGCAGGCAGTCGAGAGGCTTTACCAAGAACGGCCTGTTCTGCTAAAACCTGAGACTAGTGACATCGTTTTTTTGGCATGGAAACATTGTCTAATGGCTTCATCAAATTTAGAATATGATTCTATCGGATGTTCATGGTAACTTCGATCGAGCATCTCTTTCACAGTGCCACCATGTCGTTCTATTCTTCCTCTCTGCCAGGGAGCTGCAGATACCACAGGGCCTATGCCATGTTCTTGCAGGAAGTCTTTCCATTCTTGACTAACGAATTCCCCGCCTGCATCGTGAGCTACATGTTGTGGTGGACCCGCCCAGTGTAACCATACTTGCTTCACCCCTTGAACGAGTGCTTCGCTATCCCTATTACCCTTTTTCCCACATGGAAACGAGTTGCTTCATCAAGGATATGGAGAACATAGGTTTTCAGGCCGGTTTTCCCCTTCCATTCGAATGCATCTAGGGATATCCTTTCATTAAATTCAAGGGGGTCCTTTAAGTTACCTGGTGTGGTCTTTT